CCCCTCCCCACCCCACTGGAGCAGCCCCTCCATCACTCCCAGCACACCCGGGAAGCCCCACAGCAGATGGATCCGTCCAGCAGGAAGGAGGACGCCGGGAAGGCCACTAACCCTTGTGGAATTTATTCAGACAGCCGGCGTTGCAGAAGGAACGGATGGATCCCGTCTCCCAGCAGCCCCTACCCTTCATCCCCACAGCGGGATCGCTCTGGCCGAGGTGCTACATGGCTGGGAGCTTTAGGACGGAGGAAAAAAACCACACAGGAAGCAAGAAATGAAGGCAAAGGGAAATGTCCTTATTCAGCAGCAGCGCTGCACTTACAGTTCCACATTTCCCATCAGACATTCCCGGCACATGCTGGTAGCAGAGCACCACCATCAAACCCCCTCGTACCAGCATGCACCACGGAGCAGCCTTAACTCCATCCCTGCCAGAAACCGGCCTCATCCCGCCAAAAAAAGGGGGGAGAGAAGGACACCAGCAGTGCTGCCCAGGGGAGGTTCAGCTGGGGCTGGTTCCGGAGCGGTGCCGTGGGATATTCAGCCCCAAAACCAAAGGGATGCTGTTTTTTTGGGCAGGGAGGATGATATTTGGAAGCTTGTCCCTTTAAATGCTGCTGGAGGTTATTTTTAGGACATTTGCTTAAAATAAGTATCAGAATTCCTTTCTTTCTGTCAGAAACTCCATTATCCATTTTACTCGCTCTGCTACGTTTCACATCCCAACGGTTCCGTACCAAACCCTCCGAGGTTCCTCCAACCCCTGCCCTCCTGAGGTCCATTTTCTCCCCCCTCTATTGTGGAAGGATTGGATTTTCCCAGCCTTTAGTATTTCCCCAGTGTCAGGGGAATGAGTAATTCCAGAGGAAAAATGCGGCATAAATCACAATTCCCTCTGATCTCAGCAGCTGCAGCCAGGAGCTGCTCCGTGTGTGCATGGAGTGGGAATCGGGGATCCCCGGGATGCTGCCACGAATCCACAAGGATTAATAATTTATATTTGATCATTTTCTCCCACTTTAGCTGGACTACAAGGATTTCACAGCAGAAAGTCAAGGTTTCTATTCCAGCTTTTAAGCTGCAACCAGTCTCTGTGGATACATATTTAAATAGAGGCAGGGACTGTGTGAACATTCCGGGGGGAAAAAGGGCAAATTCAGGAAAATCAAGCTAACACTGCACATTCAAGGCTGGAAAACTAATGCTGGCAATGCATGTGCATACAAAGGTTTTATTAAATTACTGGCATATACTGATGGTTTGGGTAAGAACCAGCAGCTTTTAAGGGGGAAATAAACACCTCAAGAAATGTGATTTTTAATTGGAGGGGGGGCCTTGATGGGATTTGGCTCAAAATGAGCACTTCCAGTTCTGATATCAGATCCAAGATCTGGAAGCAGGATCTGTGTTTTGACAGTGAGACTGGAGCCAACACACATCCAGGGCTGTACCTCAGAGGTATTTACACAAACCACACCCCCCATGTCCCCAGTCCCCAACCCCTGGGGGTGCTTGTGATCAGCAGAGCTGTCATTTCCTACGCTCACTCCTTTTCCCTGAAAATCATGGAATCATAGAATCATTAAGGCTGGAAAAGCCCTCTGAGATCATCAAGTCCAACTGTTCCCCCAGCACTGCCAAGGCCACCACAGACCCATGTCCCCAAGGGCCACATCCACACGGCTTTGAAATCCCTCCAGGGATTCCATGGGGGACTCCACCCCTGCCCTGGACAGCTCTTTCCAATGCCTGACCACCCCTTCCATGAAGAAATTCCTCATGTCCAACCTGACCCTCCCCTGGCACAGCTGGAGGCCGTTCCCTCTCCTCCTGTCCCTTGTT